TAATGAGGGAAAAAAGGTCTATATTCCCTGAGACACAACTCCACTTTGGCTTCCTTGCCCCTCCCAGGCCTGGTTTCCTGGCCTGGGAGTCCCACTTTATTTCTGTTCTTTTTCTACTCAATAAACTTTTCTTTCTCTAAACAAACCTGCCTCTTCTTGCTTGCTTGCCTGAGCGTCTGCGAAGTTTCTGCTGCGGCTTTGTGAGACACCAGCCCATGGGGGTCTAGTGGCTGGAGCTCAGTGCTGCCCTGCAGCCTGGGATCCATTCCTGGCTGCGAGACTAGGCCTGAAAATTCTGGTATCACTAAAAAGACTGACCCACTACTTCTTTACCTTGAAAGAAGTACCTTTGTTCCCCAGGTAAGCAACTTAATTGATTTTTCCTTCCCTTGTCCTAGCCAAGGAAAAAAAGAAAAACCTCTGGTATATAAAATTGTTTCATTTATAACTCTGCAATTTGAACTTCCTATCCTAAGAAAAACTAGAGCTACAGTTGGTATCTCTGTTCTTCTTATCATTATTTAAATGGTGGTATATTTTTCCTATAAAACTAAGGATTTACTAAGTTTAATAACGAACGTTTGTTGACTGCTTGATGAGCTTTTGGTGTATTTTTGCTCCTTATATTAGAAAAATAAAACTTTATTGTTATCATCTAGGAAAAAAAATAAAACATGTGTTTATGTATGAGTTATCCAGTACAAAGGAATAATAGCATAACAGTTCTAACAATGTCTTAAAGTGAAAAATGTGAGGCTTGCCTGTTAATTAGCTGAAGTTATGTTGGGACAAGGCCTCAGAGTGGACTAAAAGTTTCAGGAAAAAACTGATGGACTTTCTCTGGCCAGGAGCCTGACTTGTGTGCCCCAGAGGACCAGATGACCTCTTGGGAGTCTCCTGCTTCTATACTCCCTGCTTGCTTTAATGTGCGAATGTGCCCCTGCTGGGGCAATGGATGCTCTGTTGCCTAATTGCTGGGGGCTTGGACATTGGAAAAAGATCTCTGGGCCTGTGGGCATAAATAAAGACAAAAGCCTTCTATAACAGTCTTACAATCTAAAAATTAAAAACTAGAATGTTGTAACTCTAAATGCAAATAAAGTGAGATTGTGTTAAGATATGTATGTAAAAGATACGTTAAAGGTCTGAAAAATTTAGCGTCAAAACAAAATAGCTATCTTGGAAAAAAAGGGTGTTGAAGCTTTGCAGGTCTGAGAGAGGTATCTTAGAAAAAAATGCTATGTGCTAGAATGACTTGCTTTAGGAATATTCATATTTATTATCAGTGGTGTACTTACGTAAAACCAAACTTTAATTTCTTTTCCATCTGCAGTAAAGGCTCAAGTATTCTTAAACTGCTTTTACTAGTTCTTTTTTTTTTTTTTTTTTTAGTGAGATGTTTTTCTTTTTTTTTTATAGAGGCATGTTTTTATTTATTTATTTCTTATATTTGTTTGTTTGTTTTGTTTATACATGCACTGGGTACAGTCAGAAGCGTGGGAGGGTGAGAGAATTCACCAGAGCCAGAGCAGGGAGCAGAGCAGGCAGAAGGACCGAAGCACACTGCTGAGGGGAGCAGCGGGTGGCAGGAGAGGTCTGCGCACCATGTGGGATCCTCCTCCGGGGCCCGGGAGCAGCCGGGGATCGAACCGGCACCGCAGAGGCTGTGGGCAGCTTCGCAACCCAGCGCTCAACCGCTGCGCCACTGGGGAGGCCCTGCTTTTACTAGTTCTTGATGGCAAATTAAAAACTGTTTAGGTAATCTAAAATCTTGGTTCTCTTTTACCCTCGGACTTGGTAAACTGAAAAATATAGTCCTGTCAGCATTGTTGAGCACTGTGAAAATATATCTCCTTTTAAAAACCTCTAGTTATCACTCTGGGTACCTTAGTGTTGTTTTATAAAAATCTGTATATATTATTAAGCCTGTGATGAAACTTTTCTTGGAGTCAAATTTCAGAAATGGTAAAGTTTTTTTTTGAATCAAGTAAAATTATTTGATGCGTCTTAGGACTCTTAATAAATTATTTACCTTATAGCAAAATGCTAAAACACATTGGACCAATCTAGAAATGTTAAAACTTCATAAAAAATTTTCATTGAGGGAAAGAGTTATACCTTTTCAGCATATATAAAATTCATTAAAGTGTTCTAAAATACATGCGAGTTTTAAAACCTAGTATGTTCTGGTATTGAATAATATTTCATGACTTTTGAAAAATTATTTTTTAATGTTTTGGCTTTTTTTTTGGTCTCTTGTCTTTAAGCTGGGCTATGAACTTAGCAGTGGCAATTTGCATCTTTTTATGAGCAAACTGAAGCATATGCTTTTCTCTTGTTTCATTCCAAAAATTTATAGGCAATATTTGTACTTCTCAGGACAATGTCTATCTTTGCATAATCTCAATAGGGAATTTTAATTATTTCTCCTTAAGCTGGTAAATTAAACATGTTTTGTTACAAGGCTTTGATTGAAAGTCTTCTGGGAATAAACCGTGCTGAGCTGAGAAGAGTGAGACAAGAAGAGCCTGTCATCTTGCTTACTGGGTTCCAGAGACCTCCATGAAAGGTGAGGAAGCTGCCTCCATGGACAGGACTGGAAAAACCCTGGAAAAAGTCCTGGGAACCTTGAGAAGAGGAAATCTCAGGTGAAGTTTGGTGAGACTGTGACTTTGATAAAGCCGGCATGGACTGGATGTTAAAAAGCTCACGCTAAGGCCTGTGGAAGTTTCAACAAAGCCAACAACACTCTACTTGTTTACTCTGCCCTATGAGTTTATGCAAATATGGGGAAAATTGTTAAAATTAGATTTGGTTTACTATTTTACAGAATTGGGATGAGAGTAGAGAAAAATTATGTCTCAGTAACTATATTAGTCTCTGGTCCTCTCCAGTGAGGGCTATAGCCTTAATGTCATCATCTTGAGGAAGAGAAAAAGTAATCCCTCTTACATTTAGGACTACGCTATGTTGTATATTTTGTTGCTGCCACACCAGCACCAAGACCTTAACATCATGTCGGGAACTATGGCACCAGTAAGTGCAGGCCTTCCATAGTAAACCCCCACCACGACGACCCTGTTCAGCAGGAAGCAGCCAGATGACACGACGCCCCTTTTCCCATAGAGATGGAAGGTCATAACTGAGAGTAGGGATTATGATACAGTTAACAAGTTGGTCTTTTCCCCATTTCTTGCAATTCCCCCTTATCTAGCATTAACAGGATTAATAGTTTGTCTTTCCCATTTGTTGCAGCCTCCCCCTCCCCTTGAGAAGAAAACCAAGCAGGCGCCCACCGGTTTCGTGCAGACCCTCTCCCCTCCCCCTAAGGAAAACAAGCGGTCACTGTCTCTGTGCTGACACCTTCCCCTTCCCTTAAGATGGATGAGTTGACACCCATTGGCCTCTGTGAAGATCCCTCCCCTTCCCCGTCTCTGTGCTGACACTTTCCCCCTCCCCTTGATGAACATCAGCTGACACCCATCCATCTCCCTGTTGAGCTGGCGCCCACTTGTCTCTGTGCGGACCCTTCCTCCTCCCCTTCGCGGACCCCTGCCCATCTCCCCCTGTATAAATACCCCTGCCCACTGCCAGAGAGCAGGACGGTGGTTTTTCGGACATGAGTCTGCCACCCTCCTCATTTGTGGACAAATAAAACCGCTTTTCTTTTCCTCAAACTCAGTTTCCTTTTATTGGCTGAGGGAAACTGAGGCCGGCATTCAGTAACAGCACTTTAAACCACTGCTGAGTCACATGAGCTGATCTCTCACGAATGAAGTCACATGACTGAACCCAGAATCAGAGTGTGAGGGAAATAAAATGTAGGTGGCAGAGTGTGAGCTTTCTGCTATGAAGAAGCATAAAGACTATTGTTATAAACAACTTACCACAGATGAGGTAAAATCATTAATTTTGAGTTTGAAGTGTATGTGAAAATTCCTGTTAGATGTAACCCCTAAGGATGGTTGTATCATGTTGGTGGGGTTGAGGAGATGTGCTGAATTTATATTTTGAAAGTGATACATAAGGGGAAACAGAAAGCTGTGGTGGAGATGCCCTAGGGGTATGAGAGTGAGAGAGTAAAGACAATGCATGGAACAACCCTCAGGAGAGATGATGACCTGTGGGGTGAGAGCTAAGGGAATAGTCTTCCTTGGTGGGAGATTCCCTCTCACTGAACCACAGAAGGATGGGAGGGAGATCAGTTTGGATAAGCAAGAGTTTGGGGATGATTAAAACAAATTAAACAATATATTTTCCAGAAACTTTATAATATCAAATATTTTCTGCTATCTCAATAAAGTGGACTCATGATTTTGTACCCTCAAAAATACATGGATAAGTATAACTTATGCACTTGAATATTTTGATAATACTTGTCTATTCTTGTAGGCCGATCTTACTTTTATCCTTTATTAATTTATCCTGATGATTTATCTTTTTTAGAAAAAAGTGATTTGAAATTCCTTCTATTCTGTGTGAATCAGTCTTTTTTACCTGCAGGGTTGGGAGAAGGGCACAGGCCCTTCCAGTTACTTCTGCTCCTTCCTTCAGTTCTGTGTGGGGGTCATCATCTTGCTACCCACCAAGGGTGGCGAGACCACCCAGAATGCACCTTGACAGCCTCCCCTGGAGGCATGCACAGGTGGGCCTTGCCCCACCTGGCTCTCATCTTCCGCCACAGGTGTGGGCTCAGCCCCCCAAGTGCACATCATGGGGCCAGAGGAGGATGGGGTGAGCGTGGTATGCATAGCCTCAGGCTGGTTCATGGAGCCCTAGGTGCAGTGGAGAAACCCCCATGGGGAGGAGTTCCAGAACTTCTCCAAGGTCCAGGCCCAGGACACTGAGGGGCTGGTCAGCATGGAGGCCGCTCTGGTGCTGAGAGACAGCTCTGCGGGGAGCGTGACCTGCTCCATCTGCAAGCCCGTTCTGTACCAGGAGAAGGCCATGGCCACTGTCATCCCAGGTCAGTGCTGCAACCCTCTCCCCACTCCCTAAGGGGTCAGAGGGAGGGGCCTGCTTGCCAAGGTGTGCTGGCTTGGGGTGTCCTGGGCTGTGTCCTGATGGGGTCTCTGTGGGGGTCTCTGTCTGCCGAGCCCTTCTTCCCCGAGGCCTCTCCCTGGAAGCAGGCTTTCCTGGTGAGCCTGCCCTTGCTGCTGCTCCTGCTCCTGGGGGCTTCCTGCTACACCTGGAGAGAACATTCCACACAGCTGCGGGAGCTACAGAAACAGAGGAATCTGCGCTGGGCTAAGGAGGAGGCCCTGAAGGACACAGGTAAGGCAGGACAGGGCCAGGCTGGTGAGTGTGGCAGTGGGTGCTGAGAGGGACAAGCTGACACCAGAGCCAGAGCCCAGGGTCCCTCTGCAGGGAGATCAGAGCAGGTGACTGAAAGGACCCAGAGAGGACAGTAGAGCTTGGAGGCTTAGATGGGTCTGGAGGTGGAACTACCAGGACATAGAGAGAACCATTTTTTTTTTCGTTATCTACCTCACAGTTTTTATCCATAAGGATGGAATTTATGCTTTTTCTTTTCTTTTTTTTTTTCTTACTCTTTCAGATGAGCTCCAGGTTATTCTAGGTAAGCTCTTTTTCGCTTTCTGAACTCTGTGTCCCCTTCACAGGAGATTCTGGTTCTTAGCTCACTTGATTTCTTTGTTGCTTTTCAGAACGAAGGAAGGCAGCTTACTTGGCTGGTGAGTGATGCTCCAGGTGTCCTCGATCTCCTCTCCTTCCTGTGCCCTCCGTCTCCTTTTTTGTCTCAGCACAGACATGTTGTAAAGGGTCAGGAATGGACACAGTGCAGGTTTTCTGATCCCATGCAGACCAGGTAAAGGAGGAGTCAGAGTCCTCAGTGGTTTTGCAGGTTTTTATTGGGGTTCAGCGGGTACGTAGCAGGCAGGGGTGCTGGGGGGCTGGGAGGCTGGCAGTCCTCCCAGCCTCCAGCATATCCGCACTCTCTGGGCTCTCTGGCGTTCTCTGCTTCTGCTTCTTTGCTTCTCTCATCGGCTTCTTAGCTTCTCCTGGCATCCCCGTGATGCCACCCTTAAAAAGCACAGTCTTAGCTCAGCTGAATCCCATCTACCTATGCCCACACCCTATTCCAGGTGCCCGCCATCAGGCATGCATTCAGGACAAGGATCCATCATCTATCCTGATGGCGGAAGGGCAGAAAAGCCTGACATTTTCTTTACCCTACAGTCCACCCCCTCAGGGTTTTCTGCCATACAGTCTATATATATATATATATATATATATATATATATATATATATATATATATATATACAATTTTCTTATCAAACATAAGCAATGCAACCATGGCCACAAAAGCAAATACATCACAATATACCAAAATACAACAGAACACAAATAAGTCCAGGCAGGGCCCCAACCTAGTGCAAAAGACAATTATTGGTACCAGCAGATAAGCCACCAAATCTGCTGCCGAAGGCACTGCTCATACAAGAAAGGGGAATCACTCACAGGCATCTACTATAACACACCAGGAGCCGTCGGGCTTCCTGGCCTTCTCTGGCTGTAGTCTCGGCTACAAGCCACACACAGCATCCACCCCCAGGATGCACTAGTTCTGGGATTGGTGATTCTATTCTGTTGGGGTAATAGCCAGCCCTCAGGGTTTCTGTCTGCAGTCGCTCCAACACTCGGCCTTCATAGCCACCAATGCGACTCGCAGACCCCTGCATTCAGGCCAACCCACTGCACAAGCACATGGGTCGGGGATCCAAACTCTGCATTTGGCTTGGGCTCCACCCCAAGCCACGTTCCCCACCTGTCCCCAAGGACAGGTTCCTCAGCTCCTCACCCTCACTCAAGAATGAGCAGGGCATCACCCACAGGTGATTTTACGAGACTCACAGGTCTTCAGCATACCCAGGCTGCTTAACAGCCCCTCAGGGCTTCTCAACTTAGCATCAGTACCAGCTTTTGCCTTCTCAGTTGGCTTTTCTCCTCCACCTGGCTGCTGGGCATGCACAGGCTGCTTTTGGCCACCAAGGCCTACTGGCCACCCCCAGATTCCCATCTCTTGGGGTTTACAAATGAAACTGTTCTACCCCCAGGGTCCCAAAACATATCAACCTGCAAGGTCTTCCGCCTTCTGGTGGGATTGTCAGTCCAAGTTTATCAGTCCATGTCTAGCAGTTGAAGTCCATTGGCCTCTCCCTGCATCAGCACTGGCGAGCTCCGAATTGTGGTCCTCTCCTCCCCAATGATTCTGCTGCCTCAGGGGTTGTTGGCTGGTCCTTTCAGGTGTCTCCTCCTCATCCTCCAGGCGTGGCCTTATTCCGTAGCTCCCGGACAGTGTCCACCTTCTGTGCCACCATGGCGTCTCCAGCGTTGTCACAGTCAAACACAGTCTGTTCTCCTTAGTCCCTCCAGGTCTTCAGAGGGCCCCAATACCCGTCTGCATGGATCTTGCCGACTTACGCCAATTGTAAAGGGCAGGAATGGCTACTGAGCAGGTTTTCTGATCCCATGCAGACCGGGTAAAGGAAGAGTCAGAGTCCTCAGTGGTTTTGCAAGTTTTTATTGGGGTTCAGCGGGTACGTAGCAGGCAGGGGTGCTGGGGGGCTGGGAGGCTAGCAGTCCTCCCAGCCCCCAGCAAATCCACACTCTCTGGGCTCTCTGGCGTTCTCTGCTTCTGCTTCTTTGCTTCTTATGGGGAGCCATGCTACTCATGTCATCTGACAAAAGTCCGGGCATGGGGCAGATTTCTGAAAAATCAGGAATCTCGTTAGCTGACTCCAAGATTCTCCTCATTTGTTTATGGCTAGTTTCTACTATTGCTAAAATACGTATTTAAAAGTAAAACTGCAAATACTGATCAATCAATGAATAACCAATTTGATGACAAATGGCACTGCATGATACAAATATTACATTTTTCATAAAATTAGTAGTCCTCTGCCAAAAAGGCAGCAATTCAACATTTGGCTTTACATTAACCAGTGAAAAAACTTCTGGAAACAAAAGGTTGTAAACATCTATCGGCCAAGTCTTTGATACAGAGATGTGGTCTCTTGAGGCAAGAGCTAATTGAAGAAAGAAATTCCTTTACTTTAAAGTTAAAGATAACAGTTGGATAGCAGAGGCAAGCCATGCTCCAAGTGTAAGAAGATTCCTGATAAACCAGGAGACGCCATAGTTGACTCCTGCTAAATTTTTCCTGTTTGTTTAGGTCTAATTCCTTAGGATGTGACAATTGGTATGGTAGCTGTTAGAGTATGCATTCAAGAATAAGTCAACAGCAATTTGTGAATGGTTGAGCTAGTAATCACAGCAGCACAAATAATGCACTTGGAAATGGTCAATGTTACAACTATTGATATGTCACATATTGACCGTTTTTTGAGGATCAAAGGCTATAACCATCTCCTGCTCTTGCCCCTGATAAAATATTTGTAGTTCATTAAAACAACCAGCAACCTTATGGAAGAGGAAATTGCCCCTTGATCTTGTAGTTAAATACGGAAACTAAGCTGACTAGATAAAGTAGATAAGTGATAGGTAGAAAACTCTTTGTTTAGATTAGGAGACTTCCTCCCTTAATTGAGAGTTGGGGGCTAGGGAAGAGTCAGTGCGGCTTGCCTGGCATGAACGCCCTCCAGGCCCTTGGTTCCTTAATATCAAATCAATATTAAAACAATATACTAGAGATGATGATTTCTATATAAAAGCCTTGTTTTTTTACTTTAATGAATTAGTTATAAGTTAGTCTAAACTTTATAGGTTAGTTAGAAATCATCTCTTTGTCTCCTTTCCCCCAGGAAACTTCCTGACCTTTGTTTCCCTCAGCCCTTAGTTAATTGTTCACCAAGACAAACTTAGAAATGTTAGTTGCAGACACATAGGCTTTTTTCTAGTAATACAATAACTGTTGGATTGTAAATAACTACTTTGAAAACATTTGTTTAGCAACTGTGACTTCTTTAAGACAAAGAATAATAAATGTTACACCTCTGCCAGAAGGCAAACAGACCCTTGGCTGCTCCTGAAAAAGAACATGTGATGATTATGTAAGATGTTAAAGGACTAAACATAGCAAGACAGCAGCCATTTTAAGGAAAACGACTGTTTTAAAGAGCACAGTTGTCCGTTGCGGGGTAAAACCACAAGAACCAGAAGGCAAGGGTGAATGAAACTTAAAGGTTGCCAAAGAAAGGTATACAATCAGATTGAACTTGGTCCCTGTTGTGAAAGGTCCCCTTTTTCTGCTGTTAACAGAGTATAAAAAACAGCTTGTCACACTTAAAGGGGTCCCTCTCTCAACCTGATGAGACTGCTGTGTCAGTACACCAGGCAGAGTCGGACCCTAGCTTAAGCTAGCAATAAAGCCTTTTTGCTTTTGCATCTCTGGCTCCGTGTAGTTTTTGGGACCCCCGGATGGAGTTGAGGCACCAACTCCTAACAATTATTACCTTCCTACCCTATGCTTGTGCACTCACGATTTGCTTGGTATAAATAAAGGACTGCTGAGACCCTCAGTAGGATGATATCAGCACCCTGATCAAGTGTCTGCGTCTCCTCATTCTCCCTTTCCCCTCCCTTACCTTTTTCTCTACAATTGCGCCGACGCCTTCCCATCCTTCAGGAACCCCTGACACCCAGACTGCTGCGGCTGGCTCGCAACAGCTTCTCTCATCGGCTTCTTTCTCAGCTTCTCCTGGCATCCCCGTGACATCACCGTTAAAAAGCACAGCCTTAGCTCAGCTGAATCCCATCTACCTATGCCTACACCCTATTCCAGGTGCCCGCCATCAGGCATGCATTCAGGACAAGGATCCATCATCTATCCTGATGGCGGAAGGGCAGAAAAGCCTGACATTTTCTTTACCCTACACATGTGGACCCTTCCCTGGGATGGAAGTGGGAGCTGGTGCGAGACAGGACCCTGCTCCATGGGCTCTCTCAGATCAGGGCTGTTTGCCCCTACACCTAACTAGTCTGGAGATCTTGGAGTGTTGGTGACCACAGGAGTCTCTTGAAACCTGGGTCTCATTCCAACCCTGACCTCCCAACCATGGTGCTGGCTTTCTGGCCTTCAGTGCATCTAGTTCTTGGTCAGCACCTGGAAGCAGAAGCAGCTGCTCTGAGGTTTTACAAATCAATTGACTCTTAAGTTTAGGAGTGTGACCTCCTTCTGCTCTCTCTCCCCAAAACCCAATCCAGAGAGAGTCTGTTCTCTCTGCTCCTGGGGAAGCTCATCAGTAGTGATGGGAGAGGGTGGGGGACCCTGCATGGAAGGGGATGGGGAGACTTTCCATCTCCCAGAGAGTGTTTATCTCAGAGGACTATCTCACCTGAGAAGATGGGCAACTTCCACCCTGGAGCTAGTCTTATGGACATGCCATATTTTTATTTCATGTTCTCTTTAAATTCCCAGATATATTTGTTACAAAATACTTAATGTATTTATTATGGACTAATGAATATATTACAACAACATCTTCACATGTACTGCTTATGATCATGAAGAAACAATGAATTGTGAGTGAAACAGCAGTTTTTGAAGGCTGAGGCCCAGACCCACTCAGTGACTTGCCCAAAGCCCCACAGCAGCAGCAGGCAGGGCTGGGTCAGTCTGTCCTGCAGGCTCCTGACCTGAGTCAGGGATTTCCCACCACCCCCTGCTATCTGCACAAGGCAGGAGGTCATGACCTCTGGAGCCTTTCCCTTACTCTACCCGAAGGGTCTTAGGTATATAACAGGCAGAGACCAGGGCACCTGGATCACATGAACAGGTGGTTGTGCTGAGGTCTCACCTGTGTGTTCCCTTCTAGCCTGGAGGAAGGCCCAGCTGTATGCAGGTGAGTGGCCCTGAGGGTCCTGGGGCCCCTCCCAATCTCCCCTCTGCCCCTTCTCTATCAGGAAGGGATTGGGGTCCCTGGTCTCCTCTCACTCTGGAGCCTCAATCTGAGAACTGCAGGCCCCCCCACTTGTGAGCAC